TTCGCGAAAGATCGTTATTATGGAGAGTTACAGTCTTCCGAAGAGCGAAACTCGCATGTAAATTTCAAATTCCTCGACATTCCTCGACGTCTTCACTTTCGAGAATAGAAGTGCTTGAAAAAAGCTCAGCACAATTTAGAAACTAGAAGTCTTGTGCATTCAAGAAGCTGCCTTTCTTTTTGAAATACTTATCAATTGCGGAAAGTTATAGTCCTTCAAAAAGGGGGTAGATTTGGCGATTTTCCAACTGACGCGCTCCAATCGAAAGGCGCGCGCGACGTTAGGGCGGACAGTAGTAGCGATATGATGGAGCGCGAGACTGCTCAACTGCCTGATTTCCTTCCCTTTTTGCTCCCGTTCTTTTCTAACAGAGGTCTAATTCCTGTTTTTCCTCTGCTTTCTCGTCTATCACAGGTCAGTCCGTCTTTGGGTTGTGAGCTAGAAGATATTTTTGATTTTAACCGCTCGACACCTTTAGGACTCTTTTTACTGTAATAGACAATTGAAGTCATCATAGAAATGTCGAATAATGAGCAAAACTCTGCCTCTGGAGCTTGAACCTGTAAAGGGGCTGGAATCCGGCTCAGTGCTCTGCGCTGCCTGCCTCTCGAACGTCTAATACTAACGTTTTGTTATGAAACCGGTTGTGCGGAGGACAAGAAGGGGTCGTATCAGAGCCAACGGCAGAGGGGAGGGGGTCGTAAAGATGCGGTCGTTTTCTCGACACGATTTTCACCCTGATGCTAACAAATCTCATCCAGCCGAAGGATCGTATAGTTTGCGGAAAGTTATTATAGAGGAAGTCGAGCAGAGAGAAGCAACTGCTTTACTGCCACCACTACAACCCTCCTTTGTCAACAACATCGTTCAATTGCACTTCAGCCATACTGCTGGGATCAAGGACAGCTAACTTCACGTTTGTTCAAAGGTTGCGGAAGCAAACGATAAAGGATACTCAGGAAAGAGATGATGCAGAATGACCAGACCTTCCATACATGACCATTTTCAACAAGCTCACCATGTGAGGTGCATTGTAACATGCGGAGCGAAACTGGTATGAAAGAAGCTTCATTTTTATAAACAACCTAGCAATCTCTTAATTCGAGACAAATACTGTAATATACTATGCAATAACATTAAAAAAAACTGCAGTAACTTCAAAACAAAGGAATAAAGTACATAGTACTATAATGGAAAAGAAACAACATAAACAAGTGAAACAATGCATAACAAAGGAAAAGATAATATAAACATAGATGTACACATCTGCTTAGCATAGAATTCTCTATACCAAAGCATGATTAAAGGCACCGATTACGATGAATAAAGAAGGGTTTAGTGTGACGTGGTGGTGCTCAATGGTACGCCAGTGGCGAAAAAAGCAGAAAAATCCGTCAAGAAAACGCAAAACGGGACCCCCTTTTTTGGCCGTTGGTTTTCACTCATGAACAGGTAACAGCTCAAGGACGTATGAACGAGTTCACCGCAACGCGTTTGGTGGCACCATGCCAAACCACGCTTAATCGAGATGCTCCATTTGTGCCGCTGCTGGCCACGCAGCTCGTCCAAATCAACAAGTAAACTAGTGGGCGGATCGCTTTTGGGGGCGGAGCGCTTTCGAAGTCCTGCTCAGCAACCAGCGCACCTTTCGTTGTGAAAGCGCCACACTCGCTTCCCTGGCAGCCAAGTAACTGATTCGTGTGGTGCATATGCTTCCCCAATGCCTCCTTCTTTATCGTAATCGCTTCCTTTAAGGACGGATGGGAGTCGGGATCAAGTGTCGTTGGTCAATTTCAACGTCTACAAGACGTTTTTGCAACCGTATTTGGTGGGAATGGCATGGATGGTATGGAAGGGTAGATCAGAAAATTTTTGAAAGGTGGAAAAGTTTTTGCGGAACAAAAAACTTCACCTTTTCTGCCGTCCAAGCTGTAATGTCTTCCGCTCTCCCCCACCTTGCCTTTTGGAGATGGAAGTCTCTCAATTAGGACAGAGATAAATTGTACTAAAGAGCCGTCAAAAGTGGTTCGTACGGAGGTCACTTTCGGAAACGGAAAATGGGCTTGTCACTTATCCAGAAATAGCCTACCGCTCTCTTCACAATACACCAGCTAGGGGCTTTGAAAGGCGAAGGAGGCTCAGAAAAATGCTTAACTAAACAGCGTGTGTCAAGCCGTCGAAGAAAGTTTCGAGCTATACGACCCGCTCCCCATCGCACGAATGAATTCACGACTCACAGCTTACCCCAATTGACGACTCCAAATAACCAGGAGATCGGCTCCACACTGATACGGCAAGGAGAAGCGCAATTTACAATAAGAAAGATTCTTAGGAGGCAAGTAGGCGCGAGAGTCTATTTTAGCGCGCGCCACTTATAGTCCAAGGATATTTTAGTACCAGTGCTTTTTTACAAAAAGCACAGAAGTACTAACTGTTACAGGAATTAAATATTGATTTCAAGACTTAAGGAGGCAAGTCACTGACAGCCTTAGAAGAGGAAACCAATCTTCTCACACTTATAGTGAACTTGGGTAAGAGTCGCAACGTTAACACGACGCAAATACTTGCATTTTAAATGCATTCCATACCTAAACCGAAGTTTTACTTAAAGGAATCTTCCACGGACCATGGACCAGTGGGCGGGACCGGAAGTGGTTTTGCGACGAAATGCATGGTAGGTACGGATCCACGTTCATGGGAAGGTTTGAAGTGAATCCTGTTCACGTTCGTGCGTTCGACACGTGGATCCGTACCTACCATGCATTTCGTCACAAAAACTTCCGGTCCCGCCCACTGGTCCATGGTCCGTGGAAGATTCCTTTAAAAGTTCAAGATCGCAAGGATGGAAGTTTATAATCCGTGGGTGGTGGCACCACGATACGATAAACATAGAGACCACCATTAGTTTCAGCTCGTGCACAGGCTCCAATGAAGCCGTTTCGATTAACCCAGATACCACCTATAACGGTCAACCTTGGAACACAATAGTTAAAAATAATGAATTAATCTAAGAAACTTACTGATGTAAGGAAGGCCACCACTCACAACCTTGATTGCGTGAAGAAATATCCCCCTGCTCGTGAAAACCTGAAAATTCAGGAAATAGATGGAAGCAAATTCTAGCGCAATCTAGATTGGTCTCAGGCAACAGCCGGTCATCCCTCCCAGCGTAAGCTTTACACCTTCCACTGTACTCCCTTCCACTTGTAACACCAACCCCCGTAGAGAGGATGTTTATGCTCAAAAGAAGTGTTTTACACAGTACAGTCGATATCCGAAAGTTGGGGTAGGTGTGTCACCGGAAGTGACGTGCACTTGATAGAAGTGCGTGGATAAGCTGTTGCCAGCATGCTTTGCTGATAGCCAGCGATGTATGTTGGAAGCAGCTTATCCACATAGTTTCTATCAAGTGCACGTCACTTCCGGTGACACGCCTACCCCAACTCACCGATATCGAGTATAGTGGGTACCGAATCATTGAATGAAGTTAGGACGACCTTAATTAGATCTTAGCCCTATTGTCAGTTGGTTTCATCCTTCCTTCTCATCCTCCCCTCCTTTCGCTGCCACTGCAGCACCAAATGTACTGACCGAGAGGTGTAAGGTTTATATAGCTGCTGGGGATGCTATCACAATCACGGCATTGCAAAACATCGACAGTCAGCTTCTGCGAGCTAACCGATTTTGTTAGGCTGGCGATTCACGCGACGGGTCACGGAAATCACAAGTGCCCCATCAATACTGCAAGGTGTTCTCCAATCCCGCCGTCACTTCTGCTTGATGGTTATGGTTTAATGGAGACTGCTCATGATTCCACTTGTTTCATATCCAGTGTTTCAATTGTTCAAATGGGGCACTTGCAATTTTTGTGATTGGTTTGGTTTGATTCCTGAAAAAAATAGGAACGATTCAAGAGCATTTCAATGAACTAATAGACATTGAACATGAAACAAGTAGAACCACAAACATTCGTCTTCCAATCTTTACTGCCAAGCAGAATTCGCAGCAGGATTAAACAACACCTCGCAGTATTCATCGGGCACTTCCAACTCCTGTGATCCATCGCAGGTTTCGCGAAAATCGCGCAAATCGCAAATCGCGAAAATCGCGCAAATCGCGAAAATCAGCGAAACCTGCGACGGATCGCGGACTCTGACACCAGCCTTAGCAGCTTGCTTATCCCATGAGCTTCCTAATCACTTCATTTTGCGGACGGACACACGGACATACATACTACATACATACATACATACATACACACATACACATACATGCAAACCGACACACAAAGTTAGCGATTTATATAATGGAGGGATTGATGGTCCACTAGAAATGGAAGTGGACGTGACCAGGATGCAGAAACGACCCAGTACCCGAGCAAGAGGACCGCTTCTATGCCCGCGATTCCCGCATTGATGCGGCTCTCATCGGTGCTGCTCTCTTCAAAATTAATGCTCTCTCTGCCAAACGTCTAGGTCAAGCAGTGAGAGCGAGGCGCACAGCGTCGAGAGCGCCACAAGAAGGCCAGGCTAGATCACCGGGCATATCCTTCGCCACGAACTGCGTGTCGGTCCGCACCCTTGAGGGTCCAACTGTCCTTCCCCTATGAAATTGTTGTTCTTCGACTTCCGACCTTATGTGGAATCCGCCTTCAAGCGCCCGCCTTTGTTTCTAGTAGGCATGTTTTCCCTTCTTAGATCATCAATCCACCATGGAAACTTCCTTCAGGGTTGAAAAGTATACTTACTACAAGGGAAGCTTGCACGATAAATTTATCAGGAGGTATCCAAAGATTGCATGATTTACCTGGCTTTTTTCTTAACCTTTTCCTTATAAGTGTTTGCATTCAAACGACGTGATGCTAGTATCGCAAAAAAACTGCAGTGCAAATA